GGGCCTCGCGCCGCGTGGTGGCAGGTGCGCTGGGCATCCCTGCCACGTGACCGCAGAGGCGGGGCCCCGGCACCTGGCGGGGCGGGGCCTTGCAGGCCACACCTCTTCGGCCAGCAGGTCGGGGGCGTGGCCAGGGGGATGGTTTCTGGGGAGGGTCTAGCCTGGGGAGGGCCCCAGAGGAGTCAAATTCAGGGGGTCCGTGGGGAACAGTCATCTTACCACCCTGTGGATGAACGGGGTCTGTCGAGCCTGGCGATGAAGGGGGTGGGGAACCCTAGGGGGAGCCCCAGATCCAAGCTTAAAAGGGTGGAGTGTGGGCAAAAGACCTGACCGGCCCTTGGGGTTAGCCCCAAATTGCAGAGGCACGCCCCAGCCCCGGTCCTGCTCGCCTCCCAGGCCTCGAGGGGGCGTCTGGCCTGCGCGGGATGGCCTTCTACGCGGCGTCCCCTCTGCGGAGCCCCCCGGGGCTGCTCCTGGTCATCGCTCTGCACGCAGCCCTCTACCTGCGCCCAGCCAAGGCCGCGGCGCCCCCGCGAAGGGACTACTGCGTCCTGGGCGCGGGGCCCGCGGGCCTGCAGATGGCCTACTTCCTGCAGCGGGCCGGGAGGGACTACGTGGTGTTCGACCGCGCCCCAGGGCCCGGCAGCTTCTTCACTCGCTACCCGCGGCACCGCAAGCTCATCAGCATCAACAAGCAGTACACTGGCAAGGCCAACGCCGAGTTCAACCTCCGCCACGACTGGAACTCTCTGCTCAGCCACGACCCCAGGCTGCTCTTCAGACACTACTCCCGGGCCTACTTCCCTGACGCCGGGGACATGGTGCGCTACCTGGGTGACTTTGCAGGCAGGCTGGGGCTCCGTGTGCTGTACAACACGGCCATTGCCCACGTCACTCTGGACAAGGATCCGCAGGCCTGGAATGGCCATTACTTCACCCTGACTGATCAGAAGGGCCAGGTGTACCAGTGCAGGTAAGGAGGGGCCCAGAGTCACCTGCTGCAGCTGGGCCTTCCTGGAGGCACCGGCCCGGGCTAGCTGGCGGGAAGGTGAGGGCAAATGGAGAACGGGGAGCCTGCCTTGCCCCCACGGGACAGAATCTGGGCTAAGAGGTTGGGCTCAGCCGTCACTTCCCGTCTGTCCCAAAGTTTTTGTGGTCAGATAGCTCTGGAAAAGGCCAGCCCACTCTGCCAGGACTGCCATTCCCTCATCCCTCCTGTCCACCCTGACACTCGCCGCTGGCAGGTGTTCAGCACAGGTCTTCTTGTCCAGCATCTTCCTGGAACTGGTGTTCCCCCAAGTTCTTGCTGGGAAGTGTTGGGGCAGATGTCCAGATAGTGTTAGACGTGGGGGTCCAGTGCTCATCTGGGTGGGGGGCCCGGCCAGGGGGTGCCAGCCTTTCACTTAGCCTGCTGAGGCTCGAGATAAAGCTTGGCCTTGTATGGGCAGCTCTGATTCAGGGTTCCACACTCTAGTGCACTCACCTAATCCTTGCGAGGACTCCAGGGACACCTTCATTGATCCCCATTTTCTAGAGGAAGAACTGGACTCAGGGAAGTTGCTTCATTGCCTCTGGGTCACACAGCTAATACTTCGTCCAATCTGAGCTCCTGTCTTCAGACCCCAAAGCCTGTCTGTCTTCTCTCTGGTGTACCTGTCTTCTCTCTCTACCTCTTCCCACCTGGCTGTCAGCGAGCACCTCGTTCTGGGTTCACCTGCCTTTCTCCAGCCCCCACCCCACCCCCACCCCCGGTTCCTTGCTTGCACAACCCCGGGAAGCACAGTTGGGGTGTCTTGGACCCCGGAGTTTAGGCCACAGTGCTGCGGGAAGGGTGCCAGCAGGAGCAGAAGAGACGGCTCCCGAAAGCGAGGTGCCACAGCTCCCACGGCCCTTCCCAGACGGCCAGTGGGGTCACCGCCGCCGGCCAGGCTCCCGGTGTGCTAAAATCCCACGTGGCAGTCACGTGTCCCCTCGCGGCTGTGTGACTGAGACGCGTCTTTGGGTGATTCTGTGGTCAGACAGATGGGCGTGGGCATGAGCGTGACCTAGAGGCACAGCCCGCAGTACACACCCAGGCGGGCGATCCAGCCTGCTGGGGCCACCCTCCTGGGGGTCCCTCGTGGGCACAAGCGGGCAGGGCTGTAAAGGTCAGGACTCCGGACTCAGCTGACCTGCGTTCAGATCCTGGCTGTGGTCTTAGGAGCTTTGAGGCTCCGAGCCCGCAGGGCCTGTGCCTCCTTGTCACCTGCGAAGGACCCAGGTAGCACCACTCACCTGAGGGTGAGATGAGGCGTAAAGCACTCGGTGCGGGGCCTGATGCAGATGACTGCCCGCCAGAGACCGGCCTCCTCCCACGAGTCAGACAGCGGAGAGAACATCGCGCTCGCTTCCCTCCCTGGGGCGCTCCTGGCTGTGTCCAGGGTGTGGGAGCCACGCCACTGCTCAGGGAGGGACGGGGCAGGTGACCCAGACTCGCCAGGCCGGGCCGGCAAGTGATGAATGCCCGGTGACCCCTGGCTGGAGCCGATCTGGGCGAGGCGGGCAGGCCGGGGCACAGGGCCCGAGAGTGACCTTCACTTCAGGGGCCTCTAGCGAGGCGACCCAGCTTCTTCCCTCCGACCCCCCGCAGCGTCCTCTTTGTCGCCACTGGACTGTCAGTCCCCAACCAGGTTGACTTCCCCGGGTCCGAGTACGCGGAGGGGTACGAGTCGGTGTCCGTGGACCCCAGGGACTTCGCGGGCCAGAACGTGCTGATCCTGGGCCGCGGGAACTCGGCCTTCGAGATGGCTGAGAACATCTTGGGCGTCACCAACTTCATCCACATGCTGAGCCGCTCCCGCGTCCGGCTCTCCTGGGCCACGCACTACGTGGGAGACCTCAGGTGGGCTGCCCGCTGCCCGTGCCCCTCCCTCGCGCCCCTCCCTGGTGCCCCCAGCCTGCACACTCCCCCTCCTCTGCCCTGCTTCTTCTTGGGCCCAGGGCCATCAACAACGGCCTGCTGGACACCTACCAGCTGAAGTCCCTGGACGGGCTCCTGGAGTCCGACGTGACGGATCTGGCCCTCGTGAAGGACCGTGAGGGCAGGCTCCACGTCACCCTCAAGTTTTTCCTGGAGGAAGCCAACCAGAGTGCCGACGCCGTCCCCCTCCCTCAGGACGACAGCGACAACTTCGCCATGCGCGTGGCCTACGACCGCGTCATCCGCTGCCTGGGCTGGAACTTCGACTTCTCCATTTTCGACAAGTGAGTGCAAGGGGCCAAGGCTGGGCCTCTTGGCCGACCCTCCCCGCACCCCCCGGGGCCAGGGGCGGGCTGTGCCCTCAGCTGCCGCCTGGTTTCCCACCAGGACAGGTGCTCTCGGTTCACGGGGGGACCCCAGTGGCGTCCAGGGCAGCGGTGATGGCCACGTCCTTCATCTGACACGCTAGCCCGGAGAGGGGAGGGCAAGCCCAGACGGAGCTGGTGGAGTGGCTGGCAGGTGCGGGGCATTGTGCTCTGGGAAGGGCCTCAGATTCACTAGTCACCGAACCTGTGAGCTCTGGGCCCAGTGTCGTCGCTGAAACGGAGCCTGTGCTAGCTCACGAGGCCCTCGAGGGACCAGGAGAGCTTGGCCTAGACCGAGGCTCTGTCAGAAGTGACCACTACGGTTGTGGACAGCTGAAGATGTACGGTTGCTTGGAAGAACCGTCTGTCTTTAGATGGTGCTGCCCCAGCACTGGGGGACACGCGGTGTCTCTCACTGTCCTCTGACCAAGACTCAGGAGGCCAGGACACACGGGGATGCCCGTCCCGGGCCCTCCCTTCCCACCCGCTCTTCACCCCGAGCCCAGCCCCGAGTCAGGCTGGACCCGGCTCTGCCCCGTCTCCGCTGCTCCGGCTGAGATGGGTAAACCCGCCGCTGGCGCAGGGCTGAGAAACGCTTGTGTCTTTATCCCCCAGGTCCCTCAGACTGTCCTCGGGGGGCGAGTTCAGCAAGAAGTACCCACTGGTCAGAGCTAACTACGAGTCCAAAGGCAGCCGGGGTCTCTTTGTCCTGGGCGCCGCCAGCCACTCCGTGGACTACCGCAAGTCCGCCGGGGGCTTCATCCACGGGTTCCGATACACAGGTGAGCCGGCCAGGGGGACTGTTGCCGCGCAGCAGTGGACACGGTCTGGGACGTACCCAGACAGAGCTCGGAGGCGTAGAAGTGGCCGCCGGAGCGCTGCTGGCGGAGATCAGTCGGGTGCCCCCGGGAGGGCCGGGCGCGGAGACCCTCTGGCCCGGGAGTCCCTCAGGCTCCGTGGGGTGCGTCGGTGCCTGCTGGGTGGCAGCCTTCGCCCCGGATGTCCACTTTGCGCCGGTCAGTGGTCCCGCGTCCTGATGCCGCTGCTCCCTCACGGCCGCCCCTTGCCACTGTGCTGGCTTTGCGGCGTCTGCAGTTGGTGTCGTCCTCGTCGGCTTCCGGGCAGGGTGAGGCCTGGGGTTCTGGCTCCGCGCCCTCCCGCCGCCTCCCCGGGAGGAGACCCCGTCCCCGGCCGTGCGGGCTCCGTCCCGGCAGGCGCTGCTCTACCCCCGTCCGGCCTCTGTGCCCAGTCCTGGCCTGCTCACCTGCGGGTGCGTCACTACAGCCCTGAGAGACAGATCCGTTATTTCAACTCACGTTCGGTGAGGAAGCGGCGCAGCGCGGGGGACGCTCGCCCGAGGCCGCCCTGCCAGCTGGGACCTGACGCTGAAGCGCACCCCGCTGCACTTCAGACCACGGGGAGGCGGCCCCAGGCGCGGAGGCCACCAGGGCTGCTGAGGCCACAGAGGCACCCCGGGGACAGGGCGGCGTGGCTGTGCACGGCGTCCTGCCTGGCCCCCCCGTCACTCGGCCTGGGGACAGCTCCATAGGGTGACGGGTAGGAAGGACATGGTGAGGACGGGGAAGGTGACCGCGTGAAGACAGAGCATGCTGGAAGCCCGCCACCACTCCTGCCTCTCTGGCTTCGCATGCACCACCAGGGACCCCCTGAACAACCTTTCTTTGTGCTAAGCCCCGACCGCCCTCTGCTTTTAGTTCTCCGGTCACTCCCCTCCCTCCCGGAGAGGGTCCCAGCTCCTGGGCGGCCTGTAGAGCTTTGCACCGTCTGGCCTGCTTTTCACAGTGTGTCAGGCTCTCTCAGATTTTGTTTCTTCACCAAATCCTCCTCTGGCCTGGGCCCTCCCAGCTCCTCTCCCTGCTCAGCTCTGTAGAGCTCAGGCCTGGCCCCAGTGCCGCCCGCCCCTCCCCACCACTGCTGGCCCGGTGTGTCTGCCCCTGCAGGCGGTCTGCCTGGGGCCTGGCCTTGGTCGGGATTTGGGTGTGGACGTGACACACTTTGAAGGGCAGGCACCCCCTCTCCACAGCTGCGCAGCGCTGGCCCGGCCCACAGGAAGGCCCTGGCCCCTGTGTTAGCACTTCCCCAGCTTGCCCTGGGTACACGGAGCTTCTCCTGCAGGACCTCCTGGCAGGGTGGGTGGGGGTTGTGAGCAGAGGGAGCGAAGGTCTTGGCATCAGCACCTCCGATGGAGCCAGGGACAGAAGGGGGACAGGTGTCAGAGAAAGGCTCCCTGGCTGAGTGACAGCCACACCTCCCACTGCAGACAGCTGAGCCGGGTGGGTGACTGGTCTGGCGCCTTCAGGGTCGTCATCCGTGCATGCCTCACGCAGGAGGCGGAGCAACCGACCGAGGCCGACGGTGCTGGCTGCAGGCTGAGGCAGCCCGCCGGGCCCACCCCAGGGTGCATGTGAGGGCCCCGCTCCGGAGGCCCCCCAGGAAGCCTCAGAGTGTGTGCTGAGTCCCGGAGGGTGGTGACGATGCTGCCACTTCCCAGTGACAGGGCCAGCCCTAAGTGCAGCACCACCCGCCCCTGGCCATTCCAGTGCGTGCTGTTCACCGGCTGCTGGAGCTCCGCCACCACGGCGTGGCCTGGCCCTCCCCCCGGCGCCCCATCACGCAGCTGACCAGCTCCATCATCCGGCGCGTGAACGAGGCTTCTGGGCTCTACCAGATGTTCAGCGTGCTGGGCGACGTCGTCCTGCTGGAGGAGTGAGTAGCCCAGCCCAGCGGCCCCCGCCAATGCTTCTCCTCCCATCCCAGGTGTGGGGCCATCCGTGGTTCTTCCTGAGGTGCAGCCTGATAGGGGAGAGGGTCAGGAACCAGTGAGCAGCACAAGCTGTGCGGCCCCCCCAGACACCCTCCAGCCACGCGGGCCTTCCTGTCCTTTGAACACACCCCTAAGCCTTCTCTGTCACCCTCTCACCTAGACACCCTCCCCGGGCACTCATTGCAGGTGGCCCCGAGTTTTCTGCCATGTGTGAGTTAGGGTTCAGCGAAAGTGTTGACGGGGCAGATCAGAGCCTGTGTCCCGGGGACAGCCACCCCCTGAGAGGCAGGCACGCCCCACCCACGCCCTCCACAGCTCACCCCATCCCGTGCCACCCCCAGGAATGCCACCGCATTCGAGTACCTGGAGGAGTTCCCCGTGCAGTTGCTGGCCCAGCTGGAGACCGTCACGGGGCGGCAGGCCCGCCACGGGCTCTTTGTCATCACCATGGAGTACGGCAGAAACTTCTCCGGGCCCGACAAGGACGTCTTCTTCTATGACCGGTCCGTGGGCCACATGAAGGACGCCTGGCAGTCGAACTTCCTCCACCCGGTCATCTACTACTACCGGCACCTGCCCACTGGTGAGCGGGGGCGCACGTGGCAGGCGCCCCTCGGGCCCGCCGCCTGAGGGTTCCACCCTCTCACCACACTCAGCAGGCGGGAGGCAGACCCGGGGGAATGTGCCCCAAATCCAGCGAGGCAGATGGTCTAGGCACAGCAGTGAGGGCCCCACGGTCCGGCAGGTCCTGCAACCTGGCCAGGCCTCATGACAAGCCCCGTGATCTCCAGGCGCCTCGTAGAGTGACCAGTTCTGCTGTTGCGTCTCCAGAGGCGGCTGACGCTGGTGGGGGCCGGGGGCCTGGCGATGCTTCAGAGGAGCTAGAGCTGCTGGCGCTGAAGTGATGGCGGGAAGGAGTGATGGTGGGCTGGGCAGAGTAGGCTGTCCTTGCCCTGCTGTGTGACCTCTGACAGTGACTAAACCTCTCTGAGCCTCGGCTTCCTCGTCTACGAGCTGGGGGTCAGGCAGCGCTTTGCTGGCTGGGCGTATGAGGATAAGTGAGCTAACACCACCCCAGTGGGCGCCTGAGCCGGAGCCGCCCCTGAGACACATGACTGGGAAGCAGCCTCCCGCTCCAGGCCTGAGGGCCCGTCACGTGGAGGAGAGGGTCTGGGGCCTGTCACGAGGAGGAGGGGGTCTGCAAAGGGGCAGAGTTGGCGTATCAGCTAGAAGAGACGGGGCGTGGGTCTGTGTTCCCTGGGCTGCCCAGTACAGAGACCCCCGCCAGCCCCGGGGTCTGGGGTTTGCCGCTGCAGCCACAGCAGGTGTTCTCAGCCCTGGGAAACCAGACTAAGTGCTCGAAGGCCCTCAGGGTAGACGCAGCCACCCAGGTGGCTCATCTGGCTGCCTCCAGCCTTTCACGCACGGGGGGAGCCTTCTGGACCCCCCCTTCTGGACCCTGTCCCTTCTGTCCCTTCTGGACCCTGGCAGTGAGCGCCGACCGTGGCCGGGCACAGAGGTGTGTCCGAAAGCCACGCGTGCGTGACCTGGCGTCGGATACGGGCACCTCCTGGCCCTGACGCCCCCCTCCCCCCACAGAGCAGGAGGTGAGGTACCGCCCGGCACACTGGCCGCTGCCCCGGCCGGCGGCCATCCACCACATCGTGGAGGACTTCCTCACGGACTGGACCGCCCCGGTGGGGCACATCCTGCCTCTGAGGCGCTTCCTGGAGAACTGTCTGGACACCGACCTGCGAAGCTTCTATGCAGGCAAGTTCCCAGCAGGACGGTGGGGCCGAGCGGGAGCTGGACACCAGACCAGCTGGCCCTGCCCCGTGGCGTTTCGGGAAGGACACCCGGGGCCCCAGACATGTCTCCTGCCACAGAGATGCCTCCCAGGACAGCACGTCTGGAGACTCTGAGGAAAGGGCTTCTTTTGTAGACCCCAAGCCCTTCTTTTGTAGGGCTTGGAGGGTCGGGGGGAGAAGGGAACTTCCAGAGCACAGACACTACGACGCGCTTCCTGGGGCTGAGGGGCTGACTGCTGGAGCCGCTGGGGCCTGGGTGTCGCAGCGCTTGGGGGTGGGAAGGTGTGGCTGCAGGGGGGATCCCTAAATAAGCTTTGTGCATGAACTAGAAGGGGAAACAGTCCGAAGAGGAGGACAGACAGAGAAGATGAGGTGCTTTTTTGGCTCTGGGTAGAGGCCTGGCGGGGTTTTGCCCCTGAAACAGCGCTCTCGGGGGGCTGTGGCCTCCAAGGCCATGCCCAGTAGAGGACGGGTCACGGTCTGGGGGCTCGTCACCCCAGGAAGTGCACACTGCAGGATCACTCAAGCTCAGGAAACAGTGGGGTTTATTCACCAGAGGGGAAACAAGCCACAGGCAGCCAGCTGTCACCCCGGTGAGCGTCCAGTGTCCACAAGTCCCAAACAGAAGCTGCTTGTCCAAGATGGCGCCGGCCCACCCACCGGCCAGGGCGCGGCGCCCGAGGCAGCCGGCGAGCAGCCGGGCCCAGCTCACCGCAGTGCTCACAGGCGGGCCGCAGCGGCAGGCTGAAGGTCGGGGGTCAGCACGGACACCGGCCAGACGCGATGGGGGCAGCAGCCCCAGGGGGGCGGTGCTGGGAGAGCGACCGCTGTCCAGGTCACCCGTCAGCAGGCCTGGACAGCACTGGCCCCCTCAGGCCCCTGGATGTAAAGTGCACACGCCGAGGGCGGCAGCGGTAGTAGCAGCCGCTAAACACCCACGGGGCGGGCGGGCTTGCTGTTGGCTCAGGACGACGGAAGGTCTGGGAGCCCTCGGTGGAGCTGACGGGCTAAAGCAGGGCCAGGCGCACAGGCGGGCCAGCAGGCGGGGAGCAGGCGCCCCGAGCCCCCAGGCCCTCGCTCTCCACCCTCTCGAACCTGGGCACAGGGCTCTGGGCTGGGCCCCTGCAGATATTCATGCCCCGGGCTCTCGGCTTCTCGCCCGGGCGTCGGTCGTCAGAGGCGTGGGTGCCCAGGCTCACGCCCCCACGTCACCACGCGTGGGCACTGGAACCCAGGAGGAAAGTAAGGCCACGGTGGCAGCCATCGGCTGGCGGCAGGAGGGCCGGGAAGAACCTGGGTGATTAATGAGGCTTTTTGCGCCGTGAGCCTCTGTGGCTATCACCTGCGGCCTTGATCGTGTTGATACAGAAGGCACTTGGGAGTGTGGTGCGGGGCCTGTGGGCTGACTGTGGACACCTGGAGTCGGGGCGTGGCCACGTGCGTGTGCACACCTGTGCCTGGAGGCCAGGGCTGCAGGAGCGGCGTGCAAGGGCGAGGGCAGGCCCGAGAGCCCTGGGAAAGAGTGAGGACTCGGGCGCGAGGCTCAGTCGCCGGCCTCCCAGCAGCCCAGCCTGGCCTGTCCTGCCTCCCTGCCTGCGCCCCGCTCCTTGAGAGCATTCAGGCCCGAAAAGCCCGGAGGGCTCCTGGACTCCTGTCTGCCTGGATCCGCAGCGAACCTGCCCTGTGCCTCGCCACGACAGCCAGGCTCAGGAGGCGAGCAGAGCTGGGTGGCTGGGAAGGCGGCTTGGGTGGCCGCGGCCTGCGCCCTGCCTTCCACGGGGCACGGCGGCTCCCACGCCCAGCCGCGACATGGCTGCCTGTTTCCCGAGGGTCCCGAGCACACAGACGGCAGCCGAGAGGGGCGCTGTGTCCCACCTGCAGTTCAAAGGCCCCTGGGCCTCCAGACTCCCCCTAACAGGGGCTGCGAGAAATGAGTCGCCAGGCGACGCCCCCGTGAGTTGTGAAGAGCCCTGCCAGCCAGGCCAGTGGCAGGGGGGGCTTCCCTGCCTCTGGCAGAAAGGGTGAGACCAGCAGAAGGGGTGCTTGCCAGGGCTCCTTGTCGCCCCAGTGCCCACCCCCGCAGGAGACTGCACCCCATGAGTGGAGCAGCCACTTACACCTCACCAGATCCTTTGTGATGTGCCCAGTTTTTGCTCCGGATAAAAGGTCTGGCAGGGTTTCCTGCTGCCCTCTCGCCTGGCCCTGCTGCCTGGCAGCCTGAGTAGCATGAGGGTGCCTCTCTCATCTGTTCTACTTTGTAACTTCCTAGATGCTTCACTAACACACTTCTCTCCCACCTCCACCCTCCTTGCCCAGAGGAGCCGCTACCCCCCCACCCCCTCACTTCCTCCCCTCCCCTCCCCCACCCCACCCCCTTGTCTCTTCAGCCCCAGGGTGATTTCCTGCTCCCGCCACCACCCTGCTTCATGCACCTCCCTGCAGCCAGACACTTGGGGCGAGTCTGTGCAGACAGCTGCACCCAGGCAGCAAGGCCCTGCTTCCAGGAGAGGCCTGAGCCCCCTCCCACCCGGGGGTGCCTGCAGACCTGACCCCAGGAGACCTGCATGTCTGTGCTTTGCTGCCCTTCCAGAATCTTCCCAAACGTCAGGGTGGCCTCCTGTGTTTTGGAGCCTTGGAGAGGGAGGACATTGTGTCTGCTCCACTCAGTGGTGAGCCGCCCCCCTCGCCCCACTCACGCCTCTCCCTCGCTGCCTCCGCAGAGTCCTGCTTCCACTTCGCCCTGACGCGCCAGAAGCTGCCACCCTTCTGCCAGCAGGGCTACCTGAGCAGGCGTGGGCTGGTGGGGACCGAGCGGCTCCGGCAGCTGGGAGTGGACAGCGGGTTCCTCCGGACCTCCGCCGCTGTGGGCCGGCGCCCTCGGGACGGCGGGCAGCGGCCCGGCCACCCTGAGCCCATCCATCAGCCCCCAACTCCAGCGCCTCCGGTCCAGCCCCAGGACAGCAACAAGGAGGAGCTGTGACAGCTGCCCCCGCCCCCGCCCCCGCCCCGACATGTGATTGCCAAGGCCCAGGGACCACACAGCAGCGCCCGGGCCCTGCGGCGGGCACGAGGACCCAGCGGGGCAGCTGTGCGTCCCCCTCCCTGCTGGCCCCTGTGGGTGCCCCAGTGGGGTCTGGAGAAGGGCATCCTGCCCCGGCAAGTGGGAGCCGCTTTCTACACCCAGGCTTGTCCACAGGGGGCCTGGGCACTGGGGCCTCGGGGCCCCGAGGCAGCAACTCCGGCTGCTCCTCCCAGGAAGCCGCGTGTAGCCCTTGGGAGCCCATCACTGGGAAGCCCACCCTGGCCCTCACCGGGGGGCCGGCACACCTAAATAAGGCTCTAGGTGACCTCAGCCATGTGGGGCAGGTGGGACGGTGAAGACCCCCCCTTACAGGTTTGGGGGACCCCGAGTCTCTAGGTAGCCCTAAGCCCACTCTGTCAGGCCATGGCCCCGACCTTCCCTCCCTCCCCTGCCTGTTTGCAGGATGCGGGAGTCAGCCAGGCTTACACTAGGCCTTGGGCTGCCACCAGCAGCCAGGGCAGGACTCGCCCGCACAGCTGCTGCTCTCAGCGGGGACCCCTGAGCGGCACACCTCCCAGCCTCCCGCAGGGCCGCTCCCCCGACCTGTGTTCTGTCCCCGAGCCCCCTCCCAGCACCCCCTCCGACTGCAGAGAGGCCTCTGCACACTCCGGCTGGCCTTTGGCGCCCGCCCGCTGTGTGTGCCAGCTCAGCCCTCAGCGGCTTGGTGACACGCAGGTGCGCTCAGCCCCGCTTCCCTGTCTTCAGTCCCACTTAGCGGTCGCTCTGGGAAAGCACTTCCGTAGAAAGGGGTCCAGCTGATCTCTCGAAGCCCAGGACCAGAGGTGGGTGCTCACCCACTGGCTCCTGCTGCCCTCCCGCCACTCAGCCCTCAGGGCCCAGGGGTTCTGGGCCAAAGCCCTTTCCAGAAGCATCCTCGTCCTCTCAGGGCTAGTCCAGAATCCCCGTCCCGAGCCCACCCTCGGCAGAGGCCGCTCCCTCCATCCCAGCAGCGGGGCCTGTGGGGAAGGCGGGTCCATCCCAGGGCGACGTGGTTTGTAGCCGGAAGTTCTCTCCTGGCCCCAGGTGCTGGGTTCCCATGGTTCATGAAGCTGCAGGTCATTCCAAACTGAGAATCTGGAAAATTTTACCCTTACCAAACCCCTCTTAGAAAAGGAATCTTCCCGCTAAGCTCACACCCGACATCCTTTACACACTTGTCACCAGTTACCAAGGGCTGAGCCCCTCCATGGAAACTCGAGGTGCTGTAACAGGTACTTGTCAGGCCTAAAGCAGGCCATCTGCCTCCTGTTAGTTCAGAGCGTCAGCTGGCAGAGCTGGCGCTAGGAAGACGAGCGTCTGTTCTTGCTCAGCGCCTGAGAGACGGCTGCCGTGGTGGTCTCGCTCTAAGTGAGGAGCTGGCATCAAACAGGGAGCAGCTGCTTTTCCCGTGAAGCTCCTTGCTGCCTTGGCAGGAGAGCATACTTAGATACCACCGCCCCGCCCCACCCCACCGTCCCTGACCTTCACTCAAACCCTGGGCCCCCAGACCACAGCTTCCTTTTTTACTCAAATTTGGACGGCTCTCTAGCACTCTTTAACTGGACTAAGTTCCTCTTCCCACTGAGGCCTGACTTCATTAATTCCTTTTTTTTTTTTAAATATTATAAAGTTGCTGGTGCAAAATAGGCAACTCAGTGAAACAGGAGGCCAGACTGAGCCTATTCTAAGAAGGACGGGATTTGAAAAAGAAACCACAAACCAGGAGAACAGATTGTGCAGGACCGTGCAGTTAGAGGTGGACCAGCTGGTTAGTGATTTAGAAATGGAAATAAATCCCTTCGGCCCCTTGTTGCACACAGCAAATCAACTCCAGATGAGCTTTTTCAACCCATGTAGAAACAAAGTGGAGAGAGAGGCACAGTAAAGGCTTCCCAAGTTCAGAAGCTGCAGTAATTTCCCGGATGCAAGGGTTAACACCTCCAGGTGTACCCAGCTAACCTCTGCTTAATGTGACAGGTGGTGGCAGTTTTCAAAATAAAAGGCAGATGCAGCAGAATCCACACACAAAATAAATGAACACGTGTGTTTCTCAGCTAAAGAGCTGATTGAACGAGAGAAATGAATCATTGAAGAACTGACTGACTCAACCCGTGGAATACTCTACAGCTCTTAAAAAGTCAAATGTGTGAAAGGCTGCGGACTAGGAGCACATGTGTGATAAAGTGAAAAGCAGCAAGTTATGAAATTGTAGTTGCAACCCCTTGTCACTGTGTCACTACAAATAGGGGAAATGATGGAAAGGAAATATCAAGATGTCCTCAGGGGTTGGATTCCATTTGTGGAAGTGATTTCTTTTCACTTATGTCCAAATGTGTAGTTAAACTTGACAGTGAAATAAACACATTTATTTTTTGTTTATTTACCCATACAAGAGCTGGGGTACAGGCCAGAGGTGCGGGGGTGCGGGTAGAGGTGTGTGAGAGGATTCACCAGAGACAGTGGGGAGCAGAACAGGCGGAGGGACTGAAATCCACTGCTGAGGGGAGCAGCGGGGCAGGAGAGGTCTGCTGCGTCCAGTGGGTCACTCCCTGGCCGGGGGTCAAACTCGTGCTGCAGTGGCTGCTGATAGCTTCACAGTGCTGCACTTTACCACCACCAGGGAGGCCTCACATTTATTTTTTGTTAAATTATCTCTTTTGAAATTTAAAAGTGGGGGTGGGGCCCATGGTACAGTTCTTGCACCAGCTGTGAAGACGCAGCCCACATGTCTCAGGGGGAGTCATGCTTAGTCTAGAGAAGTGGTTCCTGTTGTTCTCCAAAGCCTTTGACCCAGTACAACAGAGGAAACCTCTGGAAGCATCAGCCTTCCCAAGTAATAGAAAATGAAAGCTGCCCGGTCTCATTTTGTGGAGGTCTCCTGGGGCTAATCATTCCAGATGATTCCTTTTAATTCATCCAATGATAAAAGTCAGATGTCCCTAAAGCAAGCCTCGGGATCCACTCGCCAAGAACTGAACTTGTCTGCTAGTGACCCACAGCAGTCCATCACTCACTACATCCTGGCGTGGCCTTTAAAGATGTCCACAGGCTCTTTGATACTTCTCCAAAAAAGTGGCGCTTCATCCCCCCAGGGAGCTGGATTTATTGATTCACTTCTTGCAAATAAAACAACAGAAGCAACAGGATAGTGCTTCAAGCTCAGCTGATAAAAAGTATCTGTGCACTTTCTCTGACTGGAGTCACTCAGGAGACTGCCTAGCACTTGAAAGGACTTCCAGGCGCAGGGCCAGGGCCAACAGCCACGAGCGAGCGAGCACAGAGGCAGCCCGTAGCCCCCCATGAGGAGTGCAGCTTGGCGGCCATCTTGGGCAGCCTCCTGGAGCGCTCCTGACCACCCAGCTGAGCAGCTTGTGGGTGCCTTGGTGCAGAAACAATGAGGTCATGCTTGTCGTTTTAAGCTGCCAGATTTGGGGAGAGGGTTGCCGTGTGTTACTCAGCCACAGAGAGCTAACTTACCAATGTAACTTAATTCTCTCTGAGAGGTAGATACTACTATGCCATTTTACAAATGTGGACCCCAAGGCTGAGAACAATTCCCAGCAAGATGGTGGTGCGGTGTGCTTTTCCAACAATGGGGTTCTCTATCAGATGTGCACAGACCAGATAATGGCATCAGGTTTTTCAGAAGAGAAATCAGCTTTATTGTGAATCAGTCAGCAAAGAGGCAGGAGATAAACTCAAATCTGCCTCCCCTATTCAGAAAAGGAATGAGGTTCCATCCATTTGGGGCAACAGAATGGAGAAAAAAGGGGTTAAATTTTACTTGGCTGAGGAGTGGGCTGGGTCCAGATGCGTGAGCTTGGCTGAAGTTCACTGGCTGGCTACAGGGCAGGTCATGCATGAAGGATAACAAGGGTGTTCTTCAGGTCACTGGCATTGGGGGCCCCTCACCTGCAGGCAGCCCCCTCCCTGTGTCTGTGTCTCCCAACTCCTGACCTTGGAGCTCAGCTCAAGTTTAGTCAGTGAGCCTCCAGGCTCAGTTCATTCTACTAATGTAAGAGACAAGTTTACCTTTCTTTAACATTTGCCTTTATGTATTTATGCATACAAGGCTGGCCAGAGGTGCAGGGGATGAGAGGATTCACCAGAGATAGATGGGGAGCAGAACAAGCAGATCTACTGAAATACACTGCTGAGGGGAGCAGGGGGGAGACAGGCGAGGTCTGCTGCACCCTGTGGGTCACTCCTGGCCGGGGATCAAACTTAGTACTGCATTATCTACAGATAGCTTCATAGTGCTGAGGCTTTAACCCCTGCACCACCAGGGAGGCCCCAAAAGAGAAGTTTAGATAAGTTTTGTATGCCTTTGTACTATTAGGGTCTCAAAACAATTGAAACATGTAGCCTTCATTTCACTGCCTTGAAAATCCACTGTCTTCAAGTCTTTTCTCTAAATTTGGGAATCCAAATAGCAAAGCGGTCAACTCATCACCCTACCTGTGCGTTTCCTCCTTGGGGACACTGGGTGACAAGAAATTAAGAGACTAAGCAAGTCTCAAACCTACGAGACGGCACATTGTGTGTGGTCCCCCAGGAGGGCAGGGGAGCGTGGACACAAGGGTGACACAGACTCTGTCCCTGCAGACTAACACAGTCACCCACAGCTGTGACTGGGCAGCTGACCCTAGGGCAGGGAGCGTGCAGGAATCCCAAGGGTCAGCCCCACCGGGCTTCAGCCTCGGAATCCTCAGTTCTCTCACCCATGACAGCAGCATCCCCCCGAAAGCCAGACTGGATTCTTCCCTAGAAAAGAAGCCATTTGGTGCATCACTTCACTGCAGACACTTACTTTTTAAATGTGATCAAAATGCTGACTGGGCAAAGGTTTTTGTCAGACTGCAGACTTTAAAAAAAGCATTTCATTCCATCTGGCATCCCAGACGCATGTAAATCTGCTGCAAATGAGGCTGGCAGGCACGTGGGTGAGCTGCTGTCTCCCAAGGGTATCACCACCCATCCATGCACCGGAAATGAGAAGCAGCGCCCAGCCTGAGGTGCTGGGCAGGGAGCCAGGGCGCAGGACCCCACCTCGCTCGGCCCTCCCTTCTCAAGTCTGCACCACCAGGCTGATCCACCTTCTCTTCTGGAGAAAGGCCTGAGCTTGGTGCCCAGTGCAAAATCTTTGAAAAGCCCGTCGCCTCCCTTGCCAGTCTGTCTGAGACGCTACCATCTCACACCAGCCTTTCAAGTCATGCCAAATCGATGGAAGTTGATTTCGATGCAAAATATTTCACCACCAACAAAAAAACATCAGTGCCATAGCTCAAAATATTGGATGCGATTACAACCTGTCTTGGTAGTTTAGAAATAAAACGACTTCCCAAGGTCTCACTGGAGAAAGTATTAAATGTAGCTTTGTGACTCAAAGTGCCAAAAAAAAGAAAACAACTTCAAAAATCTATGCGATGAGCCTCTAAACGCTGTGTTTAAATCTTAAATATTTCAACCTGGCAAAAGAGCTGCCAGGTGTATTCCCCAGAGAACTGGTGTGGACTGAAGATGACACTTACGTCCCCTCTCTTTGATCAAGGCGGCTTCTGGGACTGTTCTGACCAAGAACTTGGCGCGAGGGATACTGGGCCAGTTTCTAGCCGAGGAGGCCGGCAGCCTCCCTGACCTCTCTGGGCACCCGGCTGCCACGCAGTGTGGCAGCACCGGGAGAGGCTCAAGCATGGAGGAACGGAGGCGCCTGGCTGAGTTTCCAGCTGACAGCCAGCACCAACGTGCACCCAGTGGGTGTGCCGTCTTGGAAGTGGATTCTGCAGCCCCGGGTGACCTTGCCTCATGGAGCAGCAATGAGCTGTCCCTGCCCAGCCCCACCCACACTTCATGTTTGTGAGCAAAACGATTGTTGTTGTTTTAAGCCACAGCAATGAAAGAGAGGGCTAGGCACCGTGGGGTAAAATATGGTGTCTCAGTGAAGCCAAACCTGTGGGAACAGGCATAGTACCTGTATTGTGACTTCATCAGCGAGCAGCCATCTACAAAGGTAGCCCCCAGCACACCCATCAAGGAACTCTCAGTCAGTTACGGTATGATGCTCTTTGTATACTGAGTGATCAGTTTTTTGAAGAGTAAAATAAAGAGAAGCATGAGTAGGTTCAAAAGGGAACAGAGCATTTGAGGATTCCGTTAGCACGCATCACGGGACTGCCTGACATTATGTTAGACACGCCCCAGGCCGGGTCTGGCTTTCCTTTTGTAAAACCCCAGGTGACCTGCCATCTAGTGCAGGCACGCAAGGGCCAGCAAGTCAAACGGGGCTCTCACCCGAAGTGAAACACCGCACTTGAGAGGGATTTTCACCCTGGCAAAGTTGGTTGGCGCAGTACAACTTTGAGTGAGCCAAGGACGCTCCTCTGTCTTCAACTGATCAAGCAGTTACTTGGCAAATGGGAGATTAATGGACTTGAAAAACAAGCCCTGATGTCATGCACATCCATGATCTGCAAGCCGTCCATCAGAGAGTGCCTGGCTCCCACCTGCCTCCTGCGGACACAAGCAGGCTGGCCAGTCAGGGATGGAGGGCAGCATGGGGTCCCCCCGCCCCCCAAGGATAACCAGAGACTTGCTTGAGATTTGACTTTGCCAAAGAAAGGCGAAGGTGCCAGGCCTCCCTGGTGGCGCAGGGGTTAAGTCTCAGCACTATGAAGCTATCTGCAGCCACTGCAGTCCTAGGTCAAGTTTGACCCCTGGCCAGAGAGTGACCCACATGGTGCAGCAGACCTCTCCTGCCTGCCGGCTGCTCCCCTCAGCAGTGTATTTCAGTGGATCTGTCTCTGGTTACGCCTCTCCCCACTCCACACCCCATACCACTGGCCTACACCCCAGCTCTTGTATGCATAAATAAAATAAATGTTAAAACAAAGAGAGATGCTTTTTGATGCTAAACCCATGTGGGCCTCAGTGTAGGTAAGTTAGAGAAGCCTGATTGTAGGTGAGAAGCCATAGTCAGGAGTGGGTTCTGGTACTCAGAGGAGAATCCTCCTGGGGTCTTAGGCTGCTGAGATAAATAGGTTCGGCTCCCTGGGGTAGGGGTGGGGGAGGCCTGGGCCTCACAGGTGGAATCCTGAGTGTGTTTTGGCAATTTTTGCTTAACAAAAGGAACAGGAATTTATAGGTGGGTAATAATAGGATTTGGCCAATTTGTTTAACAAAAACCACCCAACCCTAACCTGTTGGTTACATAAGATAGGAGAAGTTTTCCCATTAGAGGCCCTAGGGTGAAATTAACAAACAGAGTTTGAGTCACTTTGTTCTCAAGTGGGCACAGCTGTTTCCTGGAGTGCTGGGGGTGGGGGGTGTATGAGTCTGGGCCCTTGTGCCAAATTCCTGCTCTACTCAGTG